GCAAAATTGGTGGTCAAAGGAACCCATTTTGAGTCGGTTACGGACATCCAAGAGACCGTGACGAGGGTACTCGCGGACATCCCAGTCGAAGCGTTCCAGAAATGTTACGAAGCGTGGAAAACACGCTGGAATCGTTATATAGCTGCCTAAAGGGACTACTTTGAAGGGGATGGCAGAGTTGTAGAATAATTTTTAAATATACGGTTTTTATGGGATTAGTCTCATTACTTAATTGTCACACCTCGTATACAAATAATTTCGCGTTTTTGCTCTAGATTGAAAAAAAAAAACGCATTCGACCAGAAGAAACAAGACGTATGCGCGGCGATTTAGTACAGCAGCGTCCAGTGCGCATTTGTGGGTTGAGCTATGTCAGACGCAAACTTATTTATGTCTGTCCTGTAACAAATGCAGAACTAAATAGTTCAGGGGTGAGTTCACATGAATCTAACATTGTATGCACGGAATTCATAAAAAAAAATCCATTCGTGTTCGAAAGGTCGAAAACGCATGAGCGGACTTGCCTACCTTTCCAGAATGTTTAAATTTTTCAAAACATATTTAAACTTGTTTGGTCGTATGGAATAATACGAAATGCACAACTTTGGTGCGAAATTGTATAATTCTGACGTAATAATATGTCAAACTTATATCCAGTGCGATTCATAATTTAGCAGAAAAATAATTTTTCAACTACCTATATTATCGATTTTTAATTCTGAAACACGTCAATTTTTGTTCTCAAATAACGTTATCAGCGATAACAAACCAAGGACATTGACAATAAACAATTTAATTAGTTTCCGAAAGCACGTTGCTTCGCAATAACTCCACACCACGGGCGAAAGGTTACTGCCTAAAACAGTATTTGAGGAATTTATTGCTAAATTATAATATGTACATTAGGGCGTTTCGTTTGAAACGAATTTTTTTCGGTCCATTCACAAAATATTGTTATAAACACTGGGGAAAAAACTCTCACCAAATTTCAGCCCTTACTTTTAATTTTAAGTACTCTCCATTTCATTTTAAAATATCCTCATTTAACAAGTAAACATGGTTTATTTTAAATTATTTATATCTCAGTTGCATTTCACGTTATTTTATTGACCATATGCGATAATTACAGGGGGATCTTTGTTGTCTGAAAATACCCATAGTTGGATCTATGTGAACTGTTTCACTGCTAAAAAAGTTTATTTTTATCGACTTTTGCATTCATGAGAAATAAATGACTAAACTTGCAGCCAAAACGTAAATAACATTTTATAGGAAATTAAATTTCTATAGTCAGTATCTAAGCTTCGATTAAGAGCTGAAATTTGGTGATAACTTTTTTCCAATGTGTAGAAAAATCTTTTGTGAAAGGGGCGAAAAAAAATTTACGTTTCAAACGAAGCACCCTAATGTACATTTATCAACGCGCCACAGTTTTTCGGGTCAGAAAATTTTCTAAGAAACAAAAATAGTCCAATGAATTTATTTATTAAAGTTAAATTGTCTTCGCCAAAGCATGGTATTTGATGACTTTGTCATAAAAATCAAATTTTAAACACGTCTCAAAGATAATTGTCTTGACAATATCACTAGAGAATATTTTCAGAAATTTAAGCATGCACAGTATTCGGCAAGAAAATTTCACACCAAAATTATGAATAAAATTAAAAATTAATCCTGACAATTTGAACAATTGGAATTAAAATTGTAAAAAAATATGTTAGCTTATGTCACATTGGAGCATTGACGTTAATTGCTTAGTTGACGCAAACTAACACTGAATTTGTTGTGTCGAAAGTGTTTTACAATGTTTCGTTTTGACACATAATATTTAACATCTAAGAAAGCCAAAAAATAAAGTGTCGGAAACGATATACTGTGTTTTGCAATGGTCCTAAATGTCAAAATATTCGGATATAATTTCGCCTACGGTACCTACAAAGAAAAAACTGTTCTTAATTTCAAAAGAACATTTGTAGACCACGAAATAGAGGTGTGAAATGTTCAGTGTAATAAAAATCTAATTAGTCAATTGGACAATAGAACTATAAAGAATATTTTCATATCGTAGAGCATATCCTCAATTTTTTTAAATTTTAAAGCTAATCATGTGAAACCTTGTTTTAAAGAGATCTTGATTCTCTATATACTAAAACTTTTTTTTAATTTTGTCAATTAGTTCTCGAGAAATAGAATTTTGAAAATTTAAAAATGTATTAAAGTCGAAAGGTACGCAAGTCCGCTGGCGCAGACTTAAATTTTTCCTAGAGGTTTTTTGCGTAGAATTTTTTGAAACAAGAAGATAAAGTCTGTATGTACGATTCAGATTATCTATTGTTTATTAAAAAAATTAATATTATAATATTCTTGTGAACAAAATATTGATAACACAGGCCGACAAGATAACCCAACAACACGAATATACTTTCCCAAAGGATTTTGGTGCGCTGAATTCGAATTCGAGTCCAAATTTCTCACGTGGCTCTGGTTTTCGAGATATCCTAACCTAAAGGTGTAAAAATTGCGAATTTTTTTGACATATTTGAGGTTATGTTACATGGAAAGGTAATTTTTTTGCTAAAACCATTAATGAGACCTTAAAGTATTATAGTACTCTTTAAAAAGCACTTAGATTTATCCTAATATCATTTTTCGTCTTTGAGAAATCGCATATTGAAATGTTGACTTATTCGATTTCGATTTCTAAAGCTTATGGGTTTGGAGTTTATGAGTTCGGGATTGAGCGTGTTAGCCTCTTTTGCATGTAAATGTATTTCTAGATTGATATAATGCGCAAAATATCGGTCAAATATCAAATTTTTAGACATTTTTTAAAGTTTATTGCAAAATTTGACGTGATAGAATATTTTAGAGGTCAGATTCATGATCAGCGACCCCAAAAACATGTAACAGTATTCAAAAATCGTCAAACTACTAAACTTCAACATGATCAGCGACCCCAAAAACTACTACTTCCGGGTGGCGATGTATTTAGGTTTGTGGTGCTGTGTTGCCAGAATATTCAAATATCGAGAAATAAATCAAACTACTTCAACGTGCGAATTCTCAGAGACGAAGCATTATATCCTGATTATCCAAGTGCGTTTTAAAGAGCAAGTATAGTACTTTAAGAACCCACTAATGGTTTAAGCAAAAAAAATTACCTATCCATGTAACATAACCTCAAATATGTCAAAAAGTCGCGATTTTGGCACTTTTAGGTTAGGTAGGATATCTCGAAAACCAGAGCCAAGAGAGAAATTTGCACCTCGGATTTGAATTCAGCGCCCCAAAATCCTTCGAAAAAGTACATTCTGGTTTCTGAGTTAGAGATTCGGATTTGTATACGTGATGTTTTAACTTTTTACACTGAATTATTATTTCACATAACATGCAAAACGAAATAGTTCGCGAGTGAGTCACATGAATTTGATTTTATGTGCAGGGGGTTTAAAGAAATTCCGCCCGTGTCCGAGGGAAAGATCAAAAAATGTACGAGCGGACTTGCTTACCTTTCTAGAATGTCTAAAATTTTCAAAATTATTCTTAACAATTGACCGAATTAAAAAAATGCAAACTGAACAGAGAACCATTTTTTAATGAATGTTTGGATCGCTGTGAAGTGAGGGGAGGAAGATTCTCTAGGATCTTAAAGTATTATACTCACTATTTAAAAAGCACTTAGATTTATCATATTTCGTCTGAGAAATCACGTTGAAATTTTGACTTATTTCTCGATTTTTAAAGTTTATGGATTTGAAGTTTATGAGCTCGGGATTGAGCATGTTAGCATATTTTCCATGTAAAAGTATTTCCAGATTGATGCGCAAAATATCGGTCAAATATCGAATTTTTAGACATTTTTCTAAAGTTTATTGCAAAATTTGGCGTGATTGAATATTTTGGAGTCAGATTCATGATCAGCGACCCCAAAAACATGTAACAGTATTCAAAAATCGTCAAACTACTAAACTTCAACATATTTCTTCAAAGACGAAAAATTATATCGGGATAAATCCAAGTGCGTTTAAAAGAATAAGTACAGACTTTAAGACCCCACTAATGGTTTTGGCAAAAAAAATTACCTACCCATGTAAAATAACCTCAGATATGTCAAAAAATCGCGATTTTGGCACTTTTAGGTTAGAAATTTGGACCTCGGATTTGAATTCAGCGCTCCAAAATCCTTCGGAAAAGTACATTCTGGTTTCTGGATTAGAAATTCGGCCAAATTTTGTCGGCCCATGTAATTCGTAAAATACAAATTTTGTATACGTGATGTTTTAATTTTTTACACTGAATTAATCTTTCATATAACATGCAGAACGAAATAGTTCGCGAATGAGTCACATTAATTTGATTTTATGTGCAGGGGGTTTAAAAAAATTCCGCCCGTGTCCGAGAGAAAGATAAAAAACACACAAGCGGACTTGCCTACCTTTCTAGAATGTCTAATATTTTCAAAATTATTTTTCTCAACAATTGGCCGAATTAAAAAAAAAATGCAAACTGAACAGGGAACCATATTTTAATGAATGTTTGAATCGCCGTGAAGTAGAGGAGGAAGATTCTCACAAAATAATGTCATTTCGAAAATAAAAGTGGAAATGTTTCAGACATTTTCTTAAAAGTCAAGAACAATAGACTAATAGACTGCAATGTAGATTACACATAATAAATTTGCAAATATTTTCAATGTTCGCTTGTTTACGAATAAACATATGCAACAATAATAAATAAAACGAAAAAAGATAAGAAATAATTTTGCAGTTTTTAAATGTCAAAATTTTTAATTGAAAGTTGAACAAAAATATAAGCTTGAATTAATTAATAAAGTATCTTGGATGATGTTCACTTTGCTAATAATTTATATCTAAGTGAATTTTTTTTTGAACGTGAAATCTCATTAGAGCTGCCGAAGTGACTAAGATCTTCAAACTTAATCGAGTACCAAATTTTATTGCGTTAAATTAAATATAAAAAGTAAATTTAAAAATACTTACACTTCTCGTTTGATCTCATCCTCCGCTATCAAATCATACATCTGACTATTATTCGTGGACGTGTTGACGAGAAAGAGAGAATTCTTGCCTAAAAAAGAAAAGAACTGCATCAGCATTTGACCTTTTTATTCGCTAAAAGCGAAATACTTACAGACTGCGTTAGTCCTGACTATAAGTGTACTCATTTTGATGATTGGAGAAAGGGGCGCGGGCTGGGCATTGGACCCCGACTGAAAAAACTTCAGCAGAAACTTATCGCCCTCCCGATGAAGGATTATAACGGCTTCTTCTAACAGTAATATATGGACAGGCACAACTGGTTTATTAGGCCTTCTAAGTTGCATGCCACCCTCTATAATTAATTTAAACTTCGTCAAATCTAAAGCCTTAAAGTCTTGGGCTATTTGAAGTTCAGATCTTTCAAAATTACTGCTGTCCAGATGTTTTTGAATCTCCTCTAACCTATGCCTATTATGGGCTACCTTGGCAGCTTCGTTCACGTAGTTCAAAATTTCTTTGGACAAGTTCTGCGCCCGTTTCAACATAACCAACTCCTCTTGCTGGGACTGTTCTTCCGTGTTCGTTTCTACACTGTTGATGAGTCTCTCGAGGAGAAGGGGGTACTTCGACAACCTCTGCATTTCCGTGGGAAGGATACCCTGAAGAGGCAATCGCCTAAAACAGAAAAAAGTTAATCACATAAAATTCCTTTCTCTACACTGTCTACATACCTGCACTGTCGCTTCTTTTCGCATTCCGACAGCAGGGCGTCGAACTTCGAGTCGCGTTCCCGACGTCTCTTTATGAATTCAAGAGCCAACTGCTGCCTCTCACAGAAGTTCGCGGCAGCCTTCTTGAGCGACTCTCCCTGACGATCATCGAACATATTCACCAATATGTCGCCGATCTCCTTTACAATGGAGTCCTCCTTCCTCCGCCTCCTCATCGCCTTGTTGATTTCCGTGTGAAGGTCTAACATTTCCTTTATGTTCGGGAACATTAGGTTTAATTCTTCAGGCTTAAGGATCTGGCTCTCTTGAAGTTTCTTGTAAAAGATTTTGTACAGTACTTTGAGGTTGCGAACGTGAGAGCCCTCGGTGTGGAAGAGTTCTGAAATGGAATTATTTATTATTTATCATCGTAATAGTGTCTAATAGTGTATTTTGGTGTTAGAAAAATTATTGTTGTGGGTACACATGTCCGCATGTGACCCATTTTAAATATCACGTCAAGAGCGCCAGCCTAACCGTTGCAAGCGACAAGAAACAATGTGCAACGCGGGATATGGTTCCCGGAAGTGGACCACGGCAGATAGGCGCCAAGGGTCAGATACTTATATCTGCGAGGGACTCCACACCACCACGACTCTCCAGCGAACGCTCGCCTCGACAACACTCCTTTTCGTTAACTTTGTTTTCAACAAAAATACTTTTATTTTACCGTTGGGAGAGTTTTATTTTGCTGCACACCGAAAGCAACCCTCATTGTTATAAAGGGTATTTTATCCAGCAATATTTTTAAATTTCAAGGAAATCCGAATTCATTTGTTCCATTATTGTCCTAATTCTCAATGTTACGCCTGTGCAGTACTATTCGATAATGGTCAACTGATTTAGACCATAGATCAATTCAATATCAAAGACACACAGTCTTTAATATTCCTATTTGCTGATCAGTTAAATGACACGGTTAGTAAGTTAGATAAGATTTTGATGCAAAAGGTAACAATGGTAACTTTCACTTCTCAAGAATATTGTAACATAATTACATAAGGAAAATGAAAATGCATATTCGCAGTTGGTGTTATCACAAAATATGATGTGGAGATAACAGTACGGAAAAATCGCCTAAAACTGCTGTTGAAGAATAAGTGTACTGACAAAATCTGTAATTCACATAAGTAAAAGATTATTTCGAAGACAACATTGATTTTTGATAAATCTTGGGGTTATAAAAGATTAATAAGATCAAGAGGTTCGCTAGAAGAATTGAAAGATAACGGGAGTCTAGACACCACTTCTGTAGGAATGTGATCAATCGATAGTGGACAAGACCTAATGCAACGACACAAACCTAATTCGTGAGTAATCGTAAATATGCCTGTATAAAATTAAGTAAGATGAATTTGCTTACCGTTAATGACATCCTGTCTCTTCTTCTCGTGAGGTGGCAGATTTCTTAGTTCTTCAGGTGGTACGAAGCTTTGCCAGGGTTCTGCTTCGACATCCATGTCACTATCAGAATCGAGGTTACCTCGTGAAGGCCCCGTCTGGCCGACGGTATCGACGCTGTTACTCGGACTCTCCGATAATCGGCCACTACAAATAAATCAAGAAGTGGGGTTAAAGTAGAAAAATCTAACAGATCAAAATGTAAGTAGATCTTTCTATATTTTGATGTATAATTATGAAAATATAATACAATTATGATGAAAATTGTAGTGAAAGAACCAAAATGTATTGAAAAAATTGTAATAAATATCGTGACTGAAAAGAATATTGATTTTTATCGACATGGATAACCTCAATATTTTTAGTGATATTGTTGTAATAAACATTACTCACTTGCACGATATACTGGAATTAGAAGAACTACCAGAATCGGTATTCGATAAACCAGGTTGCCTATCCAAATCCACATCTCCGCTAAAAAAAATGAAACAAATCAATTAGGAGTAAATTGGCGCAAAGTTTTTAATACCATTCTAGCAATAGCACAAGAAATTAAAAAAAAGAATTAATTTAACAAAACAGGAAACACTATTAGAATTTAAAATTGGTTCCAATGAATAGTTTTTTTATTTTTTATTAAACTATATGGGCATTGGGCAAGTCTACCGTAGTACTTTGTCAGTAGTCAAATTTGGAGTATCATACCATTAGGTTAAAAAAATAGTTGCAATTGCAAATGTATTTAACATTCACATAACTAAATAAAATGTTTATACCCCACATATTGAAGTGAAATACCGTTTTTACTGCTTTAGAAATAAACAGAAATAAAATAAAGAACTTTTTATTACTTTAAAGCGCATTTACGTGCCATAAAAACAACCGTGACAGGATAAATTCTGAAAGAAAACGCCAAATAAACGAAAAGTAAATAAAATACTCCTACATTTTACCTTTGCGATTTCAAGGAAGAGTCATCTTGTTGAGTCATTACTTTTTCTCTCCCGGGAATAAGTAGTTTGTGTTAAAGAAAAAACGTTGTTTCAGGAAACTGCATATTAAATTTACATTAACTTTAGCTTGTCGAATTTATATCGAAAATTCCGCGAAATAAATCGATTATGAAGGTGCGATAACCGAACACAGAATCCACAACAAACTAAACGCCTCGTTGCCAGCTAGAATTAGTTTTCATTTTTGAAATCTGGACTACAAAACGAACGTTCCGAAAATCATATTGGAAATATGACCACCTATAACATAAACAATAACACATCAACGTAACGGGACGTAATAGGGAATCACCAAACATTTATTACTATCAAATGCGGCACCGAAATAGATACAGAGCGACGGGGACACGGTGTTGCCAAATAACGTACCAATAAAATATTGGGGATGCTGGGATTTGTAGATAAATAAGGTGCTATATTGAATTCGTACAGGTTATAAAATTATTATAGAAATTTACTAAAATATCACCTTACAGTTTTAAATAATTAATTTCAAAAACAACCTTTGGAATTTAAATTAGTTTTATTCAGAATTATTCAACTCGATTTTAAAAAACTTCGTTTAGTTTGCCTACATTTCAGAAAGCGTAAATTGATTTCCAAAAAACGTTATTTGTATTTCAGAAAACTGTATTAGATGAAGGTAAAATAATAAATTAATTCGATGTTCTTCATATAATTTAAAAAACAAATTTGAATTAAGTTTTGTAAAAAACGAATTTTCTGAATTATTTCTGAAAAATAAAAAAATGTTAAAATGAAATTTATTTATTTACATTTGGAACACAAACAGGCGAAAAAACCCACTAAAGTATCCACTAAATTAACAGATATACATCAAACAACAGTACAAAAAGTTATAAGATTATAAATATCATAAAAGAAAAGCATCGTAAAAAGCATAGCATAAAAAATATTACAAAAGTATACGTTTCCTAAAATGAAATTCACTATATATTCTGAAATGCAAAATTATCTAGACTGAAATACAATTAACGCTTTCTGATATCCATATGGAAAAGGTGTATAAGAATTCCATCCCATCTGATTATTTTAAAACGTAGCCTAAATGAGAGTTATATAGTGCAAACTATATCTACCAATAAGCATACCTAAAGTCTATCTATAAGTTAAAAGTAACGCAACTAAATTTGTATTTAATAAAAAGTTAGTAACTCTGCACAACTATTTTCAACATTTCAATGAATGTAACCCACATTTTCTCTTACCCCCTGCTAGAACAGTGTCAATGACAAAAAGTCTAAGAACTAAAATGACTGCTTGATATTTTAAAGATCCTTTTATCTCGATTAAACCAAGACGCTTACACGCACATAAAAACAGGAACATTACTAATTATTACGACACTGGTATGATTATTTCAACACATAACTGTTAATAGCTACATTTTTTATAATCCAGGAAATAATTTGTTCTATTGCAACGATACTTTGTATTTCAAGATGAGGGGTGAGATATTTGTGCTCTTTTATTAATACAGGTCAAACTTTTGTTCTCGTGATGCTACTCTGTTTTATTTTTAAAAGTCAATTATGTATAAGCAGTTAATCTGAATCGATTTAATAATTTGATATTTTTGTTTGAATAGAACCGCCTAATTGGTTGAACAGTTTTGGGACTAGTTACCAGTCGCTTTAGGTTTCTTTTCTTTCGAGACATATCGCCCTCTCCTCCAAGACATTTCTTAACTCAGTATCTTCTGAAGAAAGAGATATGTCTCTCGAAATGTCAAGACTAAACCAACGACCTGGAAATCGTTCAACCAATGGAAGCCTGATAACCAAATAATTCCTAAATAATAGTGACTCTCTAAAAGTCGATCTTTTAACCCACCAATAGATTTGTTGATAAATCGTACTTCGTGGAACAGCAAGTAGCTATAACTTAGATAGATAGTCTACAATTATCATTTGTGTATTTTAAATTAGCAGTAGCATTAGTAACAGTAAACTTTGAAAAGGTGTAAAGTTTTTCGAGGTTAATGGATAGGTAGGACAAATATTAATTTTGAACAAAGTGAATACAGTAGAAAATTTAAACATTCGGCAACATTGTCCGAAGAGGGTCAGCGAGGAGCGACGAATCCGCAGGGGAAGGTCGCCGAGGAATCGATTGCGCCGTCGCTAAAACTCAAAAGGATTCGTCGTGAATGTAAAAGGACTCTATAGCCTGCGTCTACAAGATTACCTTTATTAGTCCCGGGTTTATCATCGATTAGCTGCACGTTTTATGAGTCACTAGAGGAGATATTTTAATGTTGCCGCTAACTGCACACTTCCTTTCAAAAATAAGCTTTTTATAACTAAAATGTGAATTACCATTGATACGTATTTAAAATATCCCAATTAATATTTCGCTGTAATGTGTTTTCCTTTCCATTTTATTTTCACTTCAAAAGTTAAGCAAATTTTATTTTATGAAAAGTGATTTACCCCGTCATGAATAATTTACTCCATCTGATTTCTTCGTATAATTATTTACAAAAAAGTAGAGGGAGTTAAAATTAGGAATTTTGATCAAATTAAATAACGCGTTTCTTTTTTTTCTTCCTCACATACAATGTAGTTGGAGATAACTCATAATTCTCGCCTGTATATGAATAAATACAGGAAAATTTCCAAAGATTTTCAAGGTTACTTTTGTTCAACTAAATAAGTTTTAGAATTTAGTTAATGCTGGAGTACACAGGCAAATTTGTTTCGAGCAAATCCTGTTCATTAAGGAAATATAGGTTTGTTGTCATCAATCGTGTTTTTATGGCATTTGGCGAATATAAAAAACTTTAAATCAAAGTCCGTGACATCTTGTGGGTATAAATTAAATAAAATATTACATGCATATATGCGAAAACCAGTGTTTAAACAAGGAATTGGTCAAACTTACCCTGTGGTATTATGTGAGGGATCGCTAATATTCCGCCGTTGTTTTCTCTGAAAAGAAAAAGGATATTGAAAACAAAAGACGTTTATTATTTAGGTTTAGTGAATAATTCAGCGAATATTACAAATGTGGTATGTTTATTTTTCATTCAGTTCTTAATAACGTACGTATTGTATTAAGTATTTCACATACTAATAATAATTATTATAATGGGTTGGGGAATAAGTAATATCCGTTTTTAAGAATCAACCCTCTACAACTACCGCTGGTTTGCGCTGTCGTCATCTATCAGCCCGTTGTCATAAGGTAATGTTTTCTTCATCGTTTTGTCACTAGTGATGAAAAATGGAGTTTGTATGTGAACTTGAAGGAGCGGAAAGCATGGTTAATTCCTAAAAACAAGCAACTGTGCGAACAAGACCAGAACTTCATCCTCGAAAGACAATGTTATGCGTCTGGTGGGATTGGAAATGGATTCTTTATTACGGACTCTTAAGGCTGGTTTTCATTTGAAGCGTCATACTCATACCGTGTTTCCACTGTGCACCTGTCGTGTCGTATTGCGTGCATTTTCAGTTTACGTTCAAGCACTGTTGTTTGTCAAACTACAACGTGCCAGTTTACGAAATGAATCAGAACGAGGAAGACGTTGTGGTAACATGTTTTGCTTACATTTTTCTCGAGCGAAAACAGAAAAGGAGAAAGAAAAGATTCTGGATTCGTCCCTTGTACCGGGCAAGAGATGAGGAAGGGGAATTTCACACAATTTTCTACAGATTGATAGATGATCCTATCAAAGTTCCTATGGGTTATCCAAAATTTCGAGACCTATTAGAATTGCCTCTTCCACATATTCAGAAGAACTCAACATTTAGATCTATATATCTTCTAACAACTGGCAGGTCCCATGTTGCGAATCGCTTCCTCGAGCAATTGGCAACCAACGGTTAGCGCACAGTTGTAACAGGACAGTTCAAATGAAAAAGAGAATTGATGTTTTCCGTGTTATTATACGGAGAAATATAAGTTTGAGATTCTAGACTACACAACATGAACGGAACATGGTCGGAGCACAGTAGGTACCCTAAATGAAAATCAGCCTTTACCAAACAATCAAACCGTCAACGCAGAACAACTATGGTAACACCAAGCAGCTTTGCAATAAAAAAGACCTGATGGCGGATACAAAGTTCTTTTGTAACATGACAATGCACGATCACATACCGCCAATATGACCAAAATGGCAATTCGTGAGTTGAATTGGGAGGTTCTGCCCCACCAGCCTTACTCTCCAGATCTCGCGCCTTCCACTCTTCCACTATTTGTAAACTCCTTACTCGGTGCTTCTTTTAACAATGATAATGAGTTAAGAGCTTGTTTGGATGAGTTCTTCGAGTCAAAACCAAAGGATTTCTACAGAAGAGGCAACGAAAAACTATTGGACGTTGGGAGGAGGTCATAAATAACGATGGACTGATTAGCCTATTGATAACTGTAGAGTTAAAAATGAAACCTCTTAAATTTGAAAAAAAAGGGCATTACTTATTCCCCAACCCAACAGATTTAGGTTTTGTCCTAAAAATATTTATTTTAGTCCTTAAAAAGTCAAATTAACAAAATATATAAAGATCAATTTTAAAACAGATTGGTTAGAATGGTTGGTCAATTATTACTGCGTTTTTTTTTTAAACATAGGATTGGACTGGTAAATTAATAGAGGATGACCCTTAAGAATATCAGATATCATGACGAAATTGATTTTTTAAATTTAAAAGAAAAAAATATTCCTATGATTTTGTCCTAAATGGCTGAGTTTGTCAAAAGATATTTAACGTTGCTTAACAAAACTTGAATCGACAACTGAATTAAATGAATGTAAAAATTGATTCCGTTTGTATACAGTGATACCAATCAGTGTTGAAAATAATGGGAGGTATCAAGATTAAAAACCCAAAACACTACTTAGACTATGAAATAAGACTAGATATAAGTACAGTGTATACCACATATTTTGCACCCCACCTACATCTGTCATTTTTTGTTTATGAATTTTTATAAAGTTTCAGATCAAACAAATGGATAGCCTGCATATTTTTTCACAATCTTAGTTGGTCCAAGAACTAAAATAATCTCTTTCTATAACTTTGAGATTATGGCAGATTCTTTTGGCCATATCTTCCCTACAATCAGACACAGAACTACATAGACCTAGAAGTTTATTTTGACACTTTTGCTGCGTTCATTTGTTTGCTCTGGTACAAAATTTTTGGGCTTCAGCAAAATTCACTTAACTTATAGAGGGAATTAAACATTTTTCCATCTTCAAAAATTACAGTTCTAGTGGGATGCAATATAAAGAAACGCAATGTACGTTCAAATTTATTATTTTAATTAAAAATTGGCAGGGTTAAGTTAATTGGTATTATTATTTAATTTTTTGCAGTTATAACACAAATTTTGATTGATTTGAGTAAAACTTGACCAAATTCATCTAGTTCGCGAGTTTCTGCCTCAACCTATTGCCCTACTATTAAGATCTCCTGTCTTTGTTAATCCTACCGCGTACCTTCTTCTTGATCTGCGCATTTCGTGGACATGACGATTTTGGTCAAGCTGCAATGCCAGTAATGCCACCTATGTCTGTTAATTGTAATTTATCCGCATTTAGTTTATTTATTCGACAAATATTCATTTAAAAGATAAAGAAAAAGTAGACCTTGGATTATAAATTGAAAGAAAAACAAAACAGAAATAAATTACAATATAACCAAAGTTATTTGCGATTTAATCGTATTTTACCTTAAAAACGTAATTATTAATGTAAATTTCCGATTTCTTTCTTACCTTTTCTGACTGCTCCTTCACACTTTCCGATCGGTTTATGTTACTATTTATCCTCCTTTTGCTTCCTGTAGCGGGGAGACTAGTAGTACTGCAATAAAAATAACCATTAGAATATTTCCGAGCAGTTTCGTCAAGCTATTTATGGATCTGAGTTAAGTATATACAGAAAGGAGATTTAATAAATAAGCTATAAGGCAATATAATGTCTAGTGATCAAAAGCAGTGGCCTTGCAAAAAATCTATTAAATCAAGGTTACCAGTCATCTGACACCAGCTTCTTTAACCAGTTTTCAACATATCCATTGGCGAATGGGTGCGTTGGAAATGACAAAAAGTTATCCATTCCAATTTCTCGAATGCGTTCTCGCTTTATAAAACACGGTAAATGTCGCTCGAAGACACTATAATTAAAACGCTCCAGATCAATTGCATTTTCTATAGAACATATTGAGGCATTTTTTAAGAAAAAATAAAAGTAATGGCATGAATTTCATACTTTCTATTAATTTTTCATTAGTATCACTGAAATATTATTATTAAACTTTGAAATGTACATTTGCTTTCGTTTACTTTTTTCAATACAATGTTGTCAGTGTTTCGTAAGTACAATAAAAAAATTACGGTCTCAATTAAGAATACACGGTAAGTAAATCCCAAAGTCGACAATTTTAAATCTTCTATACGAGTGACCCAAGCCATACATACCTTCGCCCTTATACAGTGCCTTCATAAATGCTCGAGTGCCACGTGACCGCGACTTTAGGCAACCGAACATGCAGAGCAGTCAATGATCCACACAAAATTCCCCAAAGTTAAATCATAGTCCACTGGAGTACATATTACATTTCTTTACAAACATTGAACTTTAATATGCAAAATGTGCTTTTCTTCAATAGAAAAAAATAATTTTTTACATTTTTACTTACAAAATAATAAAACTCCTTTAAGATATTTTGAATTGTTATCCCATTCTGTATTGACAAAGTATTTTTGGAAGGTTACCCTCTAAAAAAATAGATTCTAAAAAATATAGGTTCTTTTTTAATTCATTTTCATTCAGAGATAATGAAAATACACTTTTAATTTTTCCTTCATAATTTCTGAAACACCAACTTAAGAAAATCAAATTTACTGGGCGCCAAATCAAAACCGATCACGTGGGACTCAGACATTTATGAAGGCGCTGTAGTTCTTTTCCGATTAGTGCTGCTAATATCATATTTTGGATATGAAGGAAACAGGTAACAAATGGATGAATTCAATATTACTTCCGGATTAACCGGAAGTGGGCACAATTTTTAAAATTTAAATAGGACATTCTATTTGTTTGCTTACTTCTGTTCAAAATTACATTTTTAACACTACTATGCTATTTCAGTTAATTTTTTTCGGTTACTTAAATATTACTAAAATATATATTTTTCCAAATACGTTCATACGGAAGATAGATTCACCAAATTTAGCATTTTTTTAAATCAAAATCACAGAAAGTTAAACTATTCGCTAGGAAAAAAATACGATGACGAAAATAAGAACGACCAATAAGAAAGTTTTGCTCTGTATTATAATTGCAATTATTCGAGTTAAAATATCAAATGCGAAGTAAAAATTGTGTAACAGTAACTACCTAGATATTTTTTAGTTCGTAGTAATCATAGTTAACGCGCAGACGCGAGAGCCATCTTGTATCCAACATTGCAGAAAGAAGGGTGCCTTGTCCGTCTTTCTTGCAAATATCGTATTATATTGCCAGTAATATAATAATAGCCAACAAAGAACTAAGTGTTGCATAGAAATTATATTAAGGACAAAAATGGTACCTATGTAAAAGATTAGATGCATATGAAGAAGTAACTATGTGTAGTGACAGTACCTATAGTGTTCCTAAGTTATCAACTTTGGCTTATGATTTCTTTTATACGAAAACAGTTAAAAGAAAAAGTGCGAGGGATGGGGAGACTGTCTAGATATCTTGTCTCTTAGTTGTAACTTTTCAAATACGAAGGACAAATGTAAAGAGAAAGTTAATAATTGAATCCGGCCAAGTGTACATAGTTACGACAAAAAAATTACTTACTAGTGTCCAAAATGTCAGTGATTGGGGTAAAAAAGATATTTGCTGATGTCATAAAACTCGTTATTTCAGGATGACAACCTAATAACAGCAAAAACAACGCGCAACAATAAATAAAAGGTAAGGGGAAAAACTTTTTAACTCTAATAGGCTCTTTAGTCAAATAATTTTTATTGAGATAGCAAAGTTACCAGGTGAAGTAAATTTTAATTAAAATATAGTAGAAGTATTCAAAATATAATTTAATAAGCAAAAAAAATATAGTGTATTCAAATGATCTTATGGCTTGAGTCACTTGGTAGACCATAGCAAAATATAACTCGCAAAGATACATATTTACCTGTTCATTATACACGGTTTATCTTTGTTCTTATCTTATCATTAAATATATTTTCGAGCGAAGTTTGAAATAAATCGATGTAAAAAAAACGATAATCATTTACTATTTTTAGCGTTTGAAATTTAAAAAACTATATGGCAATTTCTAATACCAAAACGACCCGTTCACACGGTGCGATACGGCACGATAATTTATTCGAAACAGTAGTTAAATTGAATCGAATTAAGGCTCTATCGGCTGAATATGTAGGTTTAAAACTTTGAGCCGCTACGACATTTTTATCGATTCGGCAAAATAGCCGAATCCGTACCGTGTCAACGGGAAGCAGAAATTAAGTAAACATCACCGGTACAGGATTTTCCCATAAACAAATGAAACATAAATAATAAATCACATTAGCACACACCTAGATTTTCTGAGAACACCGTGACGCCGTATAAATAAATCGTCCGACCACATTGCAGAAAAAACCTTGTATGTATACTGTTCAACGTGGATTATCTTAACGACTTTAATTGGTGTTTTTTTGACGCGGCCATGTCTGCGTACGAACAACAACTGTACATGTACAATAATTTCCCTTGATCAATAATCTAATCTGTTGTTTGATAAATGACAGCACACTCAAATTCCAATTTGCACCGGTAATTTCTTTTATCACTCTCGCACAAATCGATATCCGTACAGAGTTGTGAAGCGGGTTTATGAGACCAAAAGTACCTCAAAATCGTCTTCGTATATACAGGGTGTCCCATAGAGAAAACCGGTTCTTGTAAAAGGGCAAATTTACTGCGATACGTCTAAAATTGTCAAGTCGCAACGAAACAGAAAACATTTTTTGTGTAAAAACTATGAATGCTACAAGAGCACGAAAATCTCGAATAAGGACTGATGCATCAATAAAAAAGAATAAATTGATTCCAGAGACCAAATAGAAAGTTCTGGTAATTCTTGTACCAATACACTCTAGAATTTACCACTAGCCCAAGGCGGATGGACGCGGTTGCTTCATCAAAACATGAGTCTTACTTAGAAACAAGTCCACAGTAAGTTTAATTAAGATCCATCGTAACATTCTCCAGATATTACAAAAAATATAATTTTTTTTTCAAGAGCTTTGACAATCAATAGCAGAGGAGCCAGACGATAGGCTCATAGGTCCATACACTCCTTCTTCCAAAACACCCCGTATAATTTGTAGCATTTAATAAAAATATCATCCAATTCATTCGCAGTGACCTCACGCCAATGGATGGTTTTCTGAGAAAATACAAGAATTGCTTGGTACACGCTTAACCGATTAATAATGAACAAGACCTAGCGCAAGCCGTCAACAATGAACAAACATAATTCCTAAGCATTGCAACGAGTGCTATTGCATAAACAAACATCTTATTCATAGAGGCAATACGCGTTGTAATGTAGTAGCAGTAAATCTATAGTCAAGTCGTGTTCTCTATGTTCACACTACATAATGCTACTAATTGCCATAAAAACATGTACCATACACTCGACCAAGAAAAGCGACAAACTCACTCATACACGCATAAACGACAATGCGAAGCTTCAAGACGCGGATAGTGGGATTACTAAAATGTGAAGTAGTTGATGTTGCTCCACCATTGGTACAAAAATCATCTATTAAAAGCTTCGACTATTTTAGATACGCACCTGTGACTTCCGTAAATGTTAAAATCATTTTCGTTTTTGAAATGGGTATTTACCAATCGCCGGAAACGATTAACAACGGAACACTTAGGACAACTGTTAATCACTTTCTTTATGACTAGGAAATTGTTTTGTTAACTTTTGCTGGTACTTATTATTACGTACTATACCAATATATTTTATGGTAAGTTCCATGTGAAGCGTTTAATGTAGAAAAATGGACAGTGCCCCTTTTTGATTTATACTATTATGCACTTAAAATGTAAAGAGTGCAGTTATAAGAAGACAACGGTTATGTCACTTTTATTTGAATACAATTACATAAAAGAGAACCCCTCCTATAGCCAATCCTGTACTAAATTGTAGCCGCCCTAACATTTCCGAACACTAGACACATGTATTTCTATTTTATTACATTTCTTTTTGCACTCAGGTAAACATATTTCTCGGTGGGAACATATATTTGCTATAATCAAATAAATCACTTTATTAATTATAGTGTTGCTCTGCATTTGCTTCCCATATTGTCTTCGGAGTAACTTAAAAATTCTGGTAATAACCAAATTAACAACTAAATAAATCATTGATTCAACAACCATAATATTTTCCTCAGAAATAGTACCCAATAACCCTCCGTATGTTACGCCAAAGTACTCATGTATTTTAGACACGTCCGCCTACGTATTCATTTGCGTTCCCTTCATTGTTACTCATCATAATCCTTTATTACATTGTAAGTAGGTTGCGTGTCGTCAGGTAGTCTGTCTGTTTTTTTCCGAACATTAATTCGTTACAAAATTCGAATTCTTTGGCGGTCAGAAAATTTTTGTTACAGTTTGGCATCGTTTCTGAGGTCTAATTTTCGAATTGATTAAAACAAATAATAAGAGAATGTCATTTTGACTTTAGAATAGTGTTTAATAAAGTGGGTGGTAAGGTTCCCTGGACTATGGGTATATTATCATGATCCAAGAGGTGGTTGTAAGCTCAGATAAAATTGGTTGTAAAGATCTATCAACTCGAAATAAATTTCTTGATCTGTAACAATGGGTATAAAATGAATTAAACACTATATTATGAGTACAACTTTTTTCATTTCCCATTTGTCACAGGGTAGTGCAAAATTTCTTGTTCTTCTTTCGAAAATAAATACTATTTTTTGGCAACATGAAAACAGAACTTATCTATCTACATAAAAAAACTAATTTTATTATTAAGTCTAGACTTTCTAGACTCTAGTCTTCAATTACATATTTCACTCATCATTCACTTTTGATTTAAATCAAATTCTCATTCAAATGTTTAAATTACAACAATGCCCGCCTTATTTTATACTGTTAGGAAGTTCATTTTTTCAAAATTGTATCCGTTTGGAGTCGTTCTCCATTATACACTACTGAAAAAAATTAAGGGAACAAAAATATTTTATAATTTTTTTAGTGATGACAAAAAACGGTTGGATGGATCGACTTGTCAATTTACAAGCTTATTATGGGAAAATTGAGCTGTCAAAATTTCTCTGAACATTAATCTTTTCATCAGTATTCGTAGATATTCTAAAAACCAGTAAAAAGTAATTTTTTGTACTTTTTTCAAATTATTGTCAAGGATGAAATTTTTTTTTCTTCGAAAATCATGATAGATCCTTGCAGAGAATTTATTCAAGTTTTCAAAACCGCCCTTAAATTTACTATGCAATAATTTGTTTCTGAGATATCGATTATTAAAGACAAAAATGTCATTTTTAATTGAACCATCAATATTTCGGTAACCAACAAAAGTACGGAGACCTTTCAAAAAGCAAATTGAAGCTGATTAAACAAGCTAACTGACTTCTACATTGATTTAGTTCGAAAATATTTTCTGAGTCCGTGTAGTCCAAAAAAAAATTGAAAATCTTTTATCAATGTATTTCTTTCGATTCTTCGATAATAACACAACCACAGACAAAAAAAAAGTTGGGTATACTTTTTATGCGACATATATTTTTTGTAGTAATTTGGCCTCCTGAACACGAATCTGGGGTCAGAATTGGCCCATCACGTCACAATTTTTTCCTAACCTCAAAAAACTTGTGAAAAATAGTGAAAATTGATGAAAATTTACTGGGAAAATTTGGAAAAAAATTTATTTCCACATCAAATAGTACATTTTTATGTAAAAGACTCTGCTGAATTCAAATCCACTGTCAGAATTGAGCTAGAACGTGTGGTTTTTTTTCTAACCTCAAAAAACCGAGCAGGAATCGCTATTTTCAAATTCTGAGCGGATTTTGACCAGATTTTGTATAAAGGGGTTTTTTGGGTCGCTGATTACGAATATGAATTCACATTGTAAAAATTCAAGATGGCTGATCCAATATGGCGGGTGTACTTTTTTGAAATCCACCGATTTCAGTAAAATTTGGCATCATAAGGATTGCTGGTTGATCTCACCTTCATTAATCACACATCTGGAGCCAGATTTTCATAAATCAAGGTAAAATATGTAGGCAGAGTCATAATTTTAGGCCGAGTAGGCGGCATTTTTTCGGCAAAGTCACATTTTTAGATTGAAGGCATAAGCAGATGCAGTGATGTGCTGTGTGGCAGTAATGTGTCCTTTTCCTTGAACTTTAAAATTATTAAGAAATAAAAGCATCTAAATGCCATAGGAAAACTGCATAGTAGTTAAAAAAATCTGATTGGAAAACCATAAGCCCATGCACGACTAAATAAATGAAAGAATAAAGTAGAAACTTTTTTGTCTTGTCCCATGGAAACAAGCACATCACACTACACATCATTACATGTGTAGAGTCCTTAAGTCATTTTTTTAAGCGAAGTCACATTTTTAGACGGAGTGGAATCTTTTACCTTGATTTATGAAAATCTGGCTCCAGATGTGTGATTAATGAAGGTGAGATCAACCAGCAATCCTTATGATGCCAAATTTTACTGAAATCGGTGGATTTCAAAAAAGTACACCCGCCATATTGGATCAGCCATCTTGAATTTTTACAATGTGAATTCATATTCGTAATCAGCGACCCAAAAAACCCCTTTATACAAAATCTGGTCAAAATCCGCTCAGAATTTGAAAATAGCGATTCCTGCTCGGTTTTTTGAGGTTAGAAAAAAAACCACACGTTCTAGCTCAATTCTGACAGTGGATTTGAATTCAGCAGTCTTTTACATAAAAATGTACTATTTGATGGGGAAATAATTTTTTTTCCAAATTTTACCACTAAATTTTCATCAATTTTCACTATTTTTCACAAGTTTTTTGAGGTTAGGGAAAAAATTGTGACATGATGGGCCAATTCTGACCACAGATTCATGTTCAGGAAGCCAAATTACTACGAAAAATATATGTCGCATAAAAAGTATAGCCAACCTTTTTTTTGTCTGTGGCTGTGATAATCATAGCTCAAAAATAAATATTTGTCGAAATAAGTATCTTGAAATTAGAGACTTCAAGCTTCAAAACGTTTTTTTTTTATCTCGACATGACCATTTTTCACCGAGATAGGGCCTTTAAAAAATCACTAAAAAATTTATGAAATATTTTTGTTCCTTTAATTTTTTCCAGTACTTAGTGTGTATAATAATTCACAAAGCTACATATAATAAAAATCCTTACACAGAAATTTAATACTAAATTTAAAAAATAATATGGAATTCTGACAGAGAAAGAGGAAATTTAAAAGAACTGTTCTCGGATACATCTAATATGAAAGGACATGAAGGTAATAATCTTAATCCAAAACAACCAACTTTATAACCTACAACAAATTTACACAACGATAAATAAACGCATTGAGGTTAATTAGATAAAAAAGATTAAATTAAATGAAACGTGACAACCGAAGACACCTATGTTGGAACACCACAAAAAATGTTATCATTGGCATTGGTAGTTTCAAACACCTTGATAATTTTAAGTGCCCACGTATCTGTATTTTTAGGCAAATTTTAGATAAAGCAAGGTTATCAACTGCACTATAACAAGCACATGAAATGGAGGCGTCAAAGTATGTAAACAGATATCACTGCAGCCTTGTCTCATATTTAATTATTTTCTCAATTTTGTCAAATTAAAAACAACCAAAAACTTAATTGGTTTAATGCTGGTTGTCCAATTTGATCAATCTTCATAAAAACGTATCGAGCTGTTAGTTTTTTATACAGACAATAGTGATGTTAGGTAATGATTTACAAGAATAAATTTTCTTTGATTTATTCAGCAACCGGTTAAAGCAGATATGTATAAGAAATACTGAATGTTATATCTTACAGTTAATTGTAATAATATACATATATGTATTTTATAATTACAGGGCGTTTATTGGTAGAATGACAAGGACAAGAGAAGACCATCAATTTTTTATGACGATGTTTCAGTTTCTTTGACATCGTCTAAAATGATATTTATTTATCTAACTCTATTGCATAGCTGATTATATTATGCGTAAATACCAAAGTGAAATCACAGGTTCTCAATAAATTTTCTATTAAAAACTTGTAATCACTGAAATATTAATCACAATTTATTACCCATTTTTATGCTAAACCATTCATTTAAACAATATTGACCCATAAATGTACTGGAAACAAACCTCGTCTTTCATCGATAAACAAAAAATATCAATAACAGTTGTATTCATTGTAATCGAATTTAAAATTGCTATGGACATAACATTATTTATGTTTTGATAGTTCTCCGACTGCCCTATCAGTGACTTGTTAATGTTATCTGCTGCCAGATGTCCAGTTGTCCCAATTAATTATCTTGTGAAGGTCATTCATTAATTCGAAAAGTTATGTTTTCGTAACATCAATTTAAAGTAAATGTAAAAGAAATTACATGGACTGAAAACGACGAAAATTATCTCGTTTACTGACTAATAACAACTTCCGAAATCTGAATAGGCTAGGACATTTGAGCTAATGTGAATACGTTTATTATAACAATGTAATTATTACTTACTTAATTTTTATATTCTCTCCCCGAGGAGAACTAAGCGTACGTGAAATTCTTACGTCATTCTCTGTTTAAAAAGTTTATGAGCTGCAAACTATTAAAAGCACACAGCGACTATCCTACCCGAAATGTATAATAACAATGAGAATGTTATTAACCCAGACGAATAATTAAGATTATGATCTAGGTAACCACCTAATAAGTAATTAAAAACATGGTTTAATATTACATATACATACATCTTCATTCGTCATTTTGCAATGAATATAAATTGCGATTTTTAAACATATTTGCGGCTGACCTAAATGAGTAAAATACCTATAGAGTTGAAACTAAAAAATGCAATGCATCACGTTCTCAATATTTACGTCATAATTTATACAAAAGAGATTTCGAGTCAAATGCATAAAGAATAGACTCTTACAGCTACCGTACTGGGTATTTTTATACGACCCAATTTTTATGTCCAGTATGTGTAATATTTCTAGGACGGTAAGTGACCGACAATGAATAATTTAGATTTTTTTGACAAAAATAAGTACCCAAGTGTTCATTACTCAGAAACCCACGACGGTATTGCCACATTATCGCGAAAGAAATTAAATATACACGGACGAAATCAAAAACGCACACAAATGTCAAACTTTAATCGTGATTTAAAAAAGCACACGATATATTAAATATTTCCTTAAGTGACTGGAAAGCTATAAATAGAAAAAATATGGTCCTCAGTTCAAGCTAATGATTTGACGACTAAATTATGATCATAGTGATAATTGAAATACAAAACATTTACATGCCTTCTCGTCAACAAACTTCCAATGACTGCACTATAATTCCATAAAAAATAATGTAAATAATAAATCTCCTTTCTTGGTAAATCAATTCAATTTTCAAAAGGAAAAGAAGAAAAAAACTACTTACCTATCCGGTGTCGAAACTTCTGCTTTCTCGCTGGCATCGTGGGTTGAATCTGTGGTGGAGGGCGAGTCCTGAACCTTGAGGCCTTCCTCGCGGACAGCATCCGGTCTTCTGTCCGAACCACTTCGAGATACGGGCTGACCTTGTTTAACATCCCCTGAAACAGACATTTGCCAGTCAGTACTCAGATAAATATACGCGCATCTATGGATATAGAGTGATTCACAACTTATCCAAAAAAATTTGGGAATAGAAGCGGCATGAGAAATGGAGTCAATATCGTAAAAAAATATATTGAAGTTGTAGTACTTTCAAGCATCACATCGCTGGAAAACTGTAGTCTCTAGCGTCATTCGCAATACGCGTGGAGAGCCACGTGGCCTCAGCGACTTCTAGTACTAAAATCCGATTTTATAATCGTCGTTGCGATAGTGTTTACAATAGTTTTTTTAGTAGTTAGTGTCAAAAATGGCTTGCGTATATAGCAATTCGGAGTTGATGGATATCGTTTTAATTTATGGCGAAGCAAGACACCTGTATTATGATGAAACATTTGTGTTATGATGAAGCAGGACAACATTTGTGTTAGTTTGTAGAAACTGAGTAAGACGAGCCCAAATGTGTTTACACGTCGGTGGACAAAATTTTGAACACTTGTTGTAACATCAGGTATGTCAAATTACATTATTAATTAAAACCACAAATTAATTTTATTAATTAATAATAAAAATAGCAGTAAAAGCTGTTGAATTTGCTGATAATAGGTGCCATAAAATTCTATGTATTCCTTTCCTTGCGAAATTCTTTCAAGTTTTTGTCCAGTTTTATCACAGTTTTATAGTGCCGTGCAGACTGCTCTTTTTAATTTTTTCTTTACAAAATTGTATTTGCAAGAGTCCCCTGTACATCCAATTTTTTTTTTTATAAGTTCTGAATTCTGTATAAATGGAATAACGCTTCGGTTTCGAAGTAGTCTTCAAATTATCTCCAGTTTTTTTTTATAACAGAGGAAAGTATAGTGTTATTTAAAGCACCATGATCGGTAGAAAGCAAAATTTTTATAAAAAATTGTACTTGTTAATTATGTTCTCAAAAAATTGGAAAAATGTATTTTGTATAAGAAATGTTCTACATTTATAAACTGTATAAAATGTCACATTCATTAATATCACAAAGAAAAACGTAACAAGTGGAATAAAATATAATACATGATAGATAGTGGAGTATCTTTGACCTATTCTTATTTTGCAGTAATTCTGTATAAAGGATTTCTTTTATCTTATCAACGATGTACAATTGTTTCCGTTGTCTTATTATTGTGTGTACTAGAAATAGATAAGTAATCGAAATTTTACCATATTTATATAAATTACGTACTTCTAGTAAGACAATGGTGAGACTGAATTACATCTTAGGTATAAAAAAACCAAACGCAACAAAATGGTTCTCTGGACGTGAATTTTAAGTTACTTGCCTGGCTAATTAGGTAGAGTATTCGGAAATTTCATGTATAATGTAGCAAATTTTATAGCTTAATACATATTTGAAAACTATATGACGTTAGTTTTAAATGTATGTGTTTATGTGATTACCCAAACAAATCGATTAAAAAATATTTGAAATAAAATTTAAAAATGACGTAGGTAATAACACTAATACCTATTAAAAATTTATATTGTAGATAGGTATGCTTACTACAGATATGATAACCCTCATGATAAGAATTGACTATTTGTACTATAGTAGACCAAACCAACTTTTTTACTTTTGTTGTAAGTACAGGATGTCTCAAACTCGATAGTATGGGACTACTGTCAGAATATAAAAAATTGAAATAAAATTTGGGTCACGTGGTGTTGAACGGGATGAGGTAAGCCCCATTTCATGAAAGAGGCTTTGAAATGGATAGATGACTGGTGTAAGGGGCAGGCACTGTCAGTAAACACTGACAAAACGGTCGTAGTACCCTTCACCAGGAGAAGGAATTTAATTGGACTCTCTGAACCTATAATAGGGGAGAGGAGCATTAGGCTTTCCAGGGAAGTAAAATATCTAGGAGTGATACTGGATAATAAGCTTACCTGGAATGCGCACTTGGAAAAAGTGGTGAGTAAGGCGAAGCAGACATTGTGTGTATGCCGCCGCCTTATTGGGAAAACCTGGGGACTGAAACCAAAGATGTCACACTGGTTGTATACGTCGATAGTAAGACCCAGGATTCTTTACGGCGCTGTGGTATGGTGGCAGAAAACACAACAGACCACAGCGAGGGAAAAACTGAATAGAATTCAGAGATTGGCCTGTTTAGGTATAACGGGGGCGATGGCATCGACCCCGACAGCTGCACTAGAAGTCATGCTAAATCTGCCACCGCTGCATATAGTGGTGGAAAGAGAAGCGCGGCTAGCAGCATATCGACTCAGGAATAACAATGACTGGAGGGGTGGTTCCCACTCCAGGATCATAGACACATCTATGTCGGAACCAACTCTTGGGATGGTATCCGACAAGATGGTTCCAAGGTTTCACTTCCACAAGCCATTTGAGACTCGAATAGAGGATCAAAGCAAGTGGGAGGAAAGGTTTAATACCCTGGAAAGGTGGAGCCTAGTATGGTTTACAGATGGCTCCAAAATGACCAGAGGGACGGGTGCAGGAATATATGGACTCAGACCCAGATGGAGTGCAAGCTACAGTCTGGGGGAGTTCCCTACTGTATTCCAAGCAGAAATCTTCGCGATAATGGCGTGTCTGGCAGAGAATGTACGTAGAGGTTATAGACGTAAACTCATATATATATTCTCTGATAGTCAAGCTGCAATTAAAGCTTTAGCCGCACACAAGGTAAGTTCAAAACTGGTGTGGGATTGTTTACAAATGCTGACTGAACTGGCCACCAACAATACAGTCAGACTGTGTTGGGTGCCAGGGCACAAAGGCATTTGTGGAAATGAGAAAGCGGATGAACTTGCTAGGAAGGGATCCGAGACAGAGTTCATTGGCCCGGAGCCCTTCTGTGGCACATCTCCCAGTGTGGTCAGGCGGGCTCTGGGCAAATGGACTGAGACAGAACACAGGAAATACTGGACTTCAAGGCCAGGACATAGCCATTCTAAGGAGCTCATGGAGTATCCTTCGAAGGAAAGAGCGAATGATTTACTGAGCTTGAACAGAATCCGACTAAGGAGAGTGACAGGACTCATAACGGTACACTGTCACTTTAGGAAACATCTACATAAGCTAAAGCTTATAAACAGTCCGGTCTGCCGAGGACGTGAATCGGCGGATGAAACTTCTCTGCATATCCTGGGCGAGTGCCCGGGATTTGCACGTAGCAGACTGGCGCTCCTTGGGACACCCTATTTGGAACCCAAGTAACTGAGAGAAGTGTCAGCAAGGAAGCTGTTGGACTTTGTAAAAAGGGCAAATCTACTTGCTGAATAGGACTAGTAGTGGGACGCACAATAGGCCTAATCAGGCTGCAGTGCTATGGGACTTATTAGGACCAACCACTAGAAGAAGAAGAAGCCCAATTTTCAATAGAAAGGTATCTATATATGACCTCTCATTTCAAGACACATATTCAATATTCGCTTATTCGCTTGACTTCTTTGTGGGTTGCGTTTATTAAAATTTCACCTTTTAACTCATTACAAGCGCCTGTAATTTTTTCTTCCAAATGATTAATATCTCGCGAAGGTGTTTTGTAAACCTTATTTTTTAAAACCCCCATAAAAAAATCGAGGGGTGTTAGATCTAGTGACTTTCAGACCACTGAATAGGTCCATTAAGCCCAATCCATTTTTCTGGGAAGGCTAAATATTGCTGCACAATCCTGGCCTTGTGGTGTGGAGCCCTGTCGTGCTGAAACCATAGGTTTCTCCTTAGCTGCAAAGGCACATTCTCCAGAAGTGCAGGAAGTTCTTCTTATAGGAAATTTAGGTAACTCACGGCGCTGTCAATGTATGTTCATAAAAATAAGACCCAATTAAATGCTTACCGATGATACCGCACCATACATTTACTCTAAAATGGCCTTAGTTTTGGACTGGATTTACAATGTGGGGATGTTCAATGGACCAGTAGTGTTCGTTGCGCCTGTTTGGCAAACCATTACTGACAAACCGACTTTCGTCCGTCCAAAGAACGTGCCGAAAAAGGTCCGTATCAACAGTTTCTACATTTAGTACAATTTGAGCTATAAAATTATATCTGTTTTCAATGTGACGCTCAGGCAAATACTCCAAATTGTGAATTTTGTAGTCATGATACCAATTGGTCTTTAAAATTCGTTGAACGCCTGATTTATCCAAATTGAATTCCCGACTAGCCTGCCGTATAGAATTTCGTGGATTTTTTCGAAATATTATAACAGTCTAGCTGTATTAACATTGTTTCTTTCACTTCGGTCAATTATTTGATTTTTCCAAACAGAAAATGCATCTTCATTTCGTCGCAAGGTCGCCTCCAATCTTGTAAAGGTTCTATGATCGGGAATGAGGCGCGCTGGATACCTTTCTCGATACAACTCTACAGCTCTTCTTGAATTTCTTTGTGACTCGCCGTCAATTAGCAACATATCAACTTTTTCTGAATGAGAAAACATTTTGTAAGCACAAAAGTTATATGTTTGACGTTCGTATTGAGTAATGACAAGTATTTTGTGGCATTTATGCACTTTAATTAAACAACGAACATTCAATTATTTTTTAAGGACTACTTGATTCTTCCACCGCTAATGTGATTTTTAGGTGGTATTTCTTTTGAGGCTCTTTTAGGGCTATATTGCTTATAGCTTTTAAACGGGAAGTAATACAGAAAAATTTCTCTAATAAAAGTTTATTAGAAAAAAGAGAGCTTTTTAACAGGAAAAAAATTTGGGTATGTTTCTGGAAAAAATATAATTGATCGTTTCTGTAAAATCCCAAATACTTTCGATTGAAAATGGAGCTTGCCTCATCCCATTTAACACCACGTGTCCCAAATTTTATTTAAATTTTTTGTATCCTCACAGTAGGTCCATACTATCGAGTGAGTTTGAGACACCATGTACACAATAACTAAGTAGTACGATTTTTACACTACTCAAGACTCAAGCTAGGTGTGCAATCGTTTATGCTAAACTGCGTCTTTTAATAATTGAAAATCTTCATGACC